AGGCTCGTCAGAACCCCATCTCTGACACTTGGATATACAGCTCTGAAAGCCATCCCAGGAGGAAAGATTAAACAAAAAAAAAGAGGGGGGGCTATTTTTCAAAGCCTGCTCCTCAATCTGCCCACATCAAAATAAGACAACTGGCCCTTTGAAGTGGAGGATGGAGAGTTCTCAGCCCTGCTTGCTTAAGCAGGGAGTGGGGAAGGACAGGAAGGAAGGAAGGAGCCGAGGAGGCAGTCTCGAACATGATACACCCTTCTCACCTTGCAGATTTAATCAGGTATGAGCGGCTACAGCCAACCACAGCCTAAAGCACTGCTCACCGGAACTGGGAAGAAACTGGGACTCCTTGGAGTCAGCACCAGGTGATTTTTTTTTATATCCCCGTCAGAATCGGTCTGGCTCCTCAAGACAGAATCCAGACAAGGCCTAGTGATGGCAGCAAGTGGACAGAGACTGGACTGTCCATTCATATTCAGAGAGGCCAAGCACCTTCAGCTGTGCAGGGTGAAGGGTGTACTAGGAATTTAACTCAGCAGCACACGCTTTTCTAAGCAGGAGAATGACAGGCAAGAGTATTAAAAAAAAAGAAAGAAAGAAAAAAATGTAAACAACCAAGGATCACATGAAAAAAACAGTCACCGGTAATCCTCGGGGAAATGAGCGGCCACACCAAGAGTCTGCATCCAGTGTCAGAACAGACACTAGCAACAAGACACAGAGAGATGGGTATGGTGGCACAAGCTAGCTAGGAGGCAGAGGTAGAAGGGTCACCATGAGCATGGGGCCAGCGTAGGCTACGGAGTGAATTCCAGAATTCCAGAGCTATGTAACAAGATCCTGTCCTCAAAAAGTACAGAAGCAACCCACACACACAATAAATGGTGATGGTGGTAGTGGTGGTGATGATGGTGATGGTGGTGGTGGTGATGGTGATGGTGATAGTGATGGTGGTGGTGATGATGGTGATGATGGTGATGATGGTGATGATGGTAGTGGTGATGATGATGGTGGTGGTGATGATGGTGGTGATGATGGTGGTGGTGGTGATGGTGGTGATGGTGGTGATGGTGATGATGGTGGTGGTGATGATGATGGTGGTGGTGATGATGATGGTGGTGATGGTGATGATGGTGGTGATGATGATGGTGGTGATGATGATGATGGTGGTGATGATGATGGTGATGGTGATGGTGGTGGTGATGATGGTGGTGGTGATGATGATGATGGTGGTGGTGATGGTGGTGATGATGATGATGGTGGTGGTGATGGTGATGGTGGTGATGGTGGTGATGGTGGTGATGATGGTGGTGGTGGTGATGGTGATGGTGATGGTGGTGATGATGGTGGTGGTGATGATGGTGGTGGTGGTGGTGGTGATGATGGTGGTGGTGATGAATGATGGTAAGGATATGGAAAAGGAAAACCTCTCACCGTTCTCACCATCGGTAGGAATGTAAATGAGTACAGCCATTAAGGAAAACTGTGCAGATATTTATTTAAAAGAAAACCTGGAATAAAAACCCTGTGATCCTTCAGTGTATCCAAAGGAACTGAAGCCAATTTATGTCATGCACACAGTTACACTTGGTGTTGACTGCGGCACTGGTTACACCAAGGTAGGCGGAGGATGAAGTGAAAAGGAAAGCAGGAAAGGTGTTGTGTACCTGTAACAGAATACTGTGTCCATGAAAACCATAGGATTCTGTCAGTTCTGGTAGCATGGTGGACACTATGGTAGCTGGGCTACGTTAACAGGAAGATAGGGCTCCTATTTCCTCACTTCTGTGCAAAAGGTAAGTGTTGATCTCATAGGAAGGAGAGGGTAAAGTAGCAGATCACCAGAGCCTGTGAATCGGGTAGGGCGGGGGAGGGTGGAGAGGGGGTTAATAGGAATAGGGGTGCAGTTGGATAGGAGGGGTAACTTGCAATGCTCTGGGACCCACCTCCTCCTCAGTGCCTCAAGAGAGAGTTGCTCATTCATAAGACTTGCTCCTGGGGCAGGAATCTTGATGATCCCTTTAGAATACGCTCCTTTTTGATTGAGTTATTAATACAGTACGAACCCCATGCCCAAGATACTCTTGACGCTCAAGATTTACAAAGGAAGGGCTGGAAATTCTGGCTGTGGTTAAGGGTACACCACCTTCCCTATGCTCACCCTGGTCCACAACCACAGGCCTCCCCAAAGCCATAGGAACATAATAAACACTGCAGTAACAGAGAGAATCAGGGAAAGAGTGCAAACCATGCTCTGCAGACTCAAGAACACACCACATCCATCCAGGGACTAGCACCTTGCACGGGTCTAGCAGATTGCAAGTTCCCAGAATGGTTTTACTCCTCTGAATTAAGCCGAAGTAGACAACAACAGTGCAAAAGTCAAGCTCTGCTGATACTGGAAACTGGCACACAACTTTGACACAATGGCAATACGAACAGAGTGACATGTTTCTCTCTGCTTTCCTAGAACCCGGTTATCTTTCTAGCATGGAATCTGGCAGGGAAGAGTCTGGCCATGTTCCTAGCTTTGATGACCATCTGTCATAGGGATATCTCGTCATTGCCTAGACTAACCTGAAAACCAAGTATTTGAAGTTTGGGGCAGCTGCCCAAGCTCACTGCGACACCTGTGTGTGCACGTGTGCCTAAATGTGTTCTGATTATTTTTTTTATATGTATTTATTTGTTATGTATACAATATTGTGTCTGTGTGTATGTCTGCAGGCCAGAAGAGGGCACTAAACCTCATTACAGATGGTTGTGAGCCACCATGTGGTTACTGGGAATTGAACTCAGGACCTTTGGAAGAGCAGGTAATGCTCTTAACCACTGAGCCATCTCTCCAGCCCCATGTGTTCTGATTCTAAACTTCCACTGGTGTCTATGTTAGGGAGAAGAGGGAGGTTAAGTGGGTCCATTCTCACCCAGGCAAAGAGGGATGGATGGGGAGGGAATACAGGCTAGACGGGAAATGATAAGAATGCGACTCTCCCGGAAACCATGGCAACCAGATCCAGGAGCTAATGCGGACTGAACCATGATCTCTGTAAACAGCCTTTTCTTCTTGCCTTCATGTCACGCCAAAGGAGAAGACACTACGCTACACCTCAAGACCAGAGGGTCAAACTCTTGAAAAATAGTTAGAAACAGTACAGCGTTTCTAGATAACTCTAAGGCCATTAAGTAAGGAATACGTTCGTTCACAAAGAAGTTGAAAGGATTTTACAGTTAGTCCTTCGCTTTCCATTGATGCGGGATTCCCCTCTGTATGTTGTGAATATGTTTTACTGCCATTGGTTAAAAAAAGAAGCTGCTTTCGGCCAATGGCTTAACAGAGTAAAGCCAGGCAGGAAATCAGAACAGAGATGCAGAGAGACAGCAGGCGGAGTCAGAGAGATGACATGTAGCTGCTGAAGGAAAAAGACACAAGCCACTAACGGGAACCTTACCAGCAGACCACGAGCCTCATGGTAAAATATAAAATAATAAAAATGGGTTAATTTAAGATGTAAGAGTGAGTTAATAAGAAACCCGAGCTAATAGGCTGAACAGTGTTTTACTTAATACAGTTTCTGTGTCGTTATTTCGGGTCTGGGCAGCCGGGAAATGAAAGAGAAACCTCATCTACATTCTGTGGAGTTTCATTAACTCTGATTAGTTTAAAAGGACTGGTGGCTATGCATAGCTTTTTGAATAAAATAATAGATGTAGGGTAAAAAGGGAGAAAGCCTCCTTCTCCTGTCTGTTGTCTATTCCTCTTTTTCTTGGTTCTCTCTCTCTCTCTCTCTCTCTCTCTCTCTCTCTCTCTCTCTCTCACACACACACACACACACACACACACACACACAAACACACAGTGAGCTTTTCAGACCTAAATTTCTCATGCTTTAGCCTCCCGAATGCTGGGATTATGGGTTGATACCACCACACCCTGGTTTTTGTTTTCTTCCTTAACCGCTTTTGAAGTCTCCCTGCAATTTCTCGCTCTCACCGAAACGCTTCCAGAAGAACCTCACGCCAAAGTCTACGATGACACTTTGGTAAAATTTGGGGTTAGGAATGGGACGATGTCAGAAAAGAAAGAGGATATAATCTGTCTTGGAACACTTTCAAGCCAGGCATATCCTTATCTGTTTATGTGCACTTCCTTAGCCCTGCCAGGAAGAGGTTAGCATCGCCAAGGCCTCTGCTTGCTTCTCTGGCTTCCAGAGAGCCCGTCTTCATCCTCTGGCTCATTGGCTCTCTCCTCACGTCTGTCTCAATGCCACCAAGTGACTTCTTGCTTATTTGACTGCGTCTCAGAGAATCTCCCTGTGGACAACACTTCTGATGCTTCCTTATCTATCCCTAGCCGTCCCTTGTGTAGGGCCATGTATGACAGACATGACCACTTGCCAGGCAGAGAGACGATTCTCTGGAGGCATCTTACCTGGCTTGTCTTTGGTCTCCCGTGCCTCTAGCTCCCTCTGTTGCTTTAACTTCCCTTTTATGCAAGGCTCAACCACGTAGCAGATAAACTCAGGGATGGTCACAGTCTCGGCAGTGAGAACGGTTCCTTGCTTGTATGATTCGAAGCATTCTGTTCCTTGGAGCCATGGTGGACTTGGAAACGGCTGTAGACAACCCGTGGTAACAGACCTTTCCAATGGTTTTCACCTTGCTGCCTAGGTTTTATAGCATTGGGGAACTGATTTAACCTCAGTTAGTATTTCACTATTTGTCCTTTTCATAAAAGGATTTAGCTGAGCATGGTGGTACAAGCCTGAAATCCCCCAGCACATAGGAGGTAGAGGCTAACCTGGTCTACACAACAAGATCCAAGCCAACTAGGGTTATACAGTCAGACCCTGTTTTAAATAAATAGAAGAATTTGTTGGGAAATATACAAGTTTAGTAGTCCGTCTTTGGTGGGTCTAATGCCAGATGGACACTCTGTGGCCAATACTCTCCTGCCATCACCAGTTCTTGAAACATTTAGACACTGAGGTCAATATTACCTGGATTGTAGTTAGGCAGCTTGGAGACGCCAGGCCACGTATCCTCTGTAGGGACCCCCAGGACCTATACAGAGTCAGAGAAAGCAGAATGAAGGTCAGGAGAAGCCAGATGGATGGAACCAGACACAGAGACGCAAAAGACAGAGCAGGAGGAATAAAAACTTCAGCGACGTCAAATGGAACCAGCTGGTGTCGGGGGGGGGGGGGGGGGGGGATTTTTGATAGTCTCAACATTCTTGAGTTTATCATGCAAAGCACCCTGTCCCCACAGACCCGAGCGCGTCTCACTACCTCCCTCTGTGTGATCGCCAAGGGTCAAGGACGTGAAGCTGCAGGAGTAACTGCCCACGCCTCCCTGTAAAGTCCTATGAACTGATGGGCAGGAGAGGCTGCTGGTCTGGATTGGGCCTCGGCAGGAATGTTCAGATGTTTCTGGGGGTGCTCAAATTAAACATGGTTCAAATCACTGTCCTTTAGGCAGTGCGATGTTGGCTAAAATGGCTCCGCTCCAACCTTTGCCTTTTCTACTAAATTCATCTCATTTTCTTGTTTCTCCATGTCCAGCAGCTTAGAATACAATGTGTTTTTCCACTGGTACATTATAATGCTAACATCGTGTGAAAAAGAGCTGGCTTATAGTTTAAAAAAATTGTGTGTGCCTTTGTGTGTCAAGATGTGTATGGAGGGCAGAGAACAACTCCGCGGAGCTGGGTCTCTCCTTGACCTTTAGGCAGGTTCTGAGCATCAGATTCAGGTCTTCAGGCTTGTGTAGCAAGCCTTTACACACGGAGCCATCTTGCTGGTCCTGACCTATGCTTTAGACGTCCAAATTAAAGTTCTTGTTTCTAGTGGAGATGAAGCATTGACAATGGAGGTCTTCTGGAGACTGAAGCCAAGCAGAATTCAGATGGTGCGGTGACCACAGTCCTCTGTAGACACTATCTTACCATTTTCTGAAGAAGGCAATAAATCCCGTAGCCGGTGTGTGGGAATCTGGGCAGTGTGGCTTTTGTGACAAGCTGGTGATGGCCTAGTAGTTTTCTTTGCATTGCTTGGTGTGACTCTTTGCAGTGTATCTCAATGCTAAGTTTCTGTGAAGCACGGGGTACAGACACTGGCCCAGGTTTCCCGACAGGAAGCTAACTGCCCAGCTGAATAGAATTAATGAGGAATGCAGGAGCTTCAACCCACCGGTGTGGTGACTCGGGCCCTGGTGGAGAGGCAAGCAAGTGGGCTATATTGGGCTTGCATCACACAAAAGATGCTAACGTGCTGCTCTCCCTTCCCTGGTATGTTTTGAAAAGTCGTGCCACCCAGTAAAAGCGCCCGGCTTTGATCCATTCTCCAGACAAAGTGACTGAGAGGATTACAGGCTTTTCCTATCAACCAGCCCCAGCCTGAGGGGACACTGAGGAGCCTGGATTCCATTTTGGAAAACCAACTAGACTAATTCTCCTTTTGTGGGGTGAAGCCCAGAGGAGGCGCGGCTCATTCTTCTCCCTCAGCCTTCTGTCGTCTGTATTTGTACAGATGCGTGTGTAGACAGAGTGGGTGTGACTCACGGGCGCCCATTCATCTTCTGCTGGTTGGCAAAGCACAGCGGAGAGGAAGGAAGCAAGGGAGGAGGAAGCAACACCGGAAATGAACAGCGGCCACATCCATATTTGCCGGAAGGTAAAAGTTATCAGACTTCTTGGTAAGTATGGATTACATTTGACTGAGGCCAGATAGATACCAAATTTTCTGGAAAATTTTGTGCCAAAACCTTATTAAACTGAGATACTAGAAGCTTAAACAAAAATTCAATTATTTATTTAGTAAAAATTCACTTAGTAAGACACAACTTTAGGAACTCCGTAATCGGTTTGGTTTCCTAATAGTTAAGACACAACTTTAGAAACTCCGTAATCGGTTTGGTTTCCTAACTTATTTCATAGGAAATGAAAGCAAAAGTAGGTGGACAGGACTACAAGAAAATACACAGCTTCTAGGAAAAGAAACAGAAATGAAGAAACAAGCTACAGACTGGTCGAAAACATTAGCCAACTGTACATTTGGCTAGGGATTGATGTCTACCATGTCCAAGGAACTCAAGGAACTCAATAGCAAGTAAACAAATCACCTCATTCAAAAAAATGGGCAAAGAACTCCAGTAGACACTTCTCAAAGGAACACACACGAATGGCTCAAAGGCATGAGAAAAATGTTCAACATTCCTAATCGTTAGAGAAGGGCAAATTAGGACAACCGTAACTATGGTTAGGACCATGGAACTATCACTGAGTCTGTTGGAATGAGAGAGAGAGAGAGAGAGAGAGAGAGAGAGAGAGAGAGAGAGAGAGAGGAGCTAAGGGCTCAGGATGATTCAGCTAACTGAATGCGCAAGACCCTACACGGCTTAAACCAGGTATGGTAGCACACACCTGTAGTCTCAGCACTTGGGAGGATCAGGAGTTCAAGACTGGCTATGACACCTTATCTCAACACCCTCCTCTTCCCCCCCCCCCATGACAAAAGGGTGTTTGTTGGTTAGGATATGGAGAAAAGGTGACCTTGGCTCTTTGTTGGTGAGACTGTCGGTTTGTACAACCATAGTGGAAATTGGCAGAAACTCCCCAAAAAGCTGCTATCTAATCCATCCTGCTACATATGTGTGTGGGGGGGGGGGGGAGAGAAATTAGCATGTCAAAGAGATGGCTTGCATTTACTACCGCAGGAGCATAGCACATATACACCACGGGATACCTTACAAGGTATCTTCATGACAACAAAGGCTTGTATGTAAGGTGATGTGTGTGTTAATTGGCTTGGTTCGGCCATTCTATAACGTGTATGCAGAAAGCATCCTATCGGTGCTGAGGAGTGGCTTAGTGGTAGAGAATTCGCCTAGTCTTTGGGAAGCCCTGTTGACCCAGATCTGAACCCTGCGGCCAACATCAAAGAAGCTGAGAAGGGTTTTCCACAGGCTTTCCTCTGATCTCGATACACCTGTTGTGGCACCCACCAACGCACACACAAATGGACACTAACACAGTAAATAAATAAATAAATAAAAGTGATAATTTAGAAAGTAAAATACTCGATCCTTTCACATCTGTTCTGTCCTCACACCCTCGAAAGATTTCCTTCCTGCCCAAATACACACTCATTACAGCTGTGTTTCGCACAAGGGGACCAAACTGAGATGCCATTATTACTGTTGTAGCATTTATCATTGATTACGTATAGCTCTGAGGGAATAGGAAACTTCCACTGCTGGAGAGATAGTTCTGTTATAACGCAGCAAAGTTGGGCCATGGAGAAGACTCCACAAGTAAAGGAGCTGGCTTCCCAAGTTTGATGGCTTGAGTTTGGTCCCTGGGAACCTACCTGGTAGGAAGAGAACTGGCTCCTTCAAGCTGTCTTCTGACCTCACCCCCCCCACACACACAGACACACACACACACACCACAACCAAGTCACCGGGGGTAGCACTTTTGTCTAGTTTTCCTCGGAATGCAAAACTGTAAATACAATAGGAGATCTGCTTGAATTAAGTGAATCGGGCTACAGCACATTGTAAGCCACGCAGAGCTGTCTTCCTGGGATGGGGCCAAAGCTAACAGTGAGCTATGCAGCTATGCAGACTCCAGAAGTAACTAACTAAAGGGGAAAGCCCAATGTACAGAGAATGCTATGATTTAAAAGTATGGGAACTGGGGCTAGGGAGAGAGCTCCGTGGTTAAGAAAGCTTGCTGCTCTTCCAGAGGACCTGGGTTCAGTTCCCAGCACCAACACTAGGAAGTTCACAACTCTGTCTAGCTCTGGGGCATCTGACACTGTCTTCTGGCCTCCACGGGCACTCATGTGCACATATCTGCATGCGCACATACACACACACACGACAAATCTTTTAAAAAATGATAGGAGAGCCTGGTGGTGGTGGTGTATGACTTTAATCCCAACACTGGGGAGGCAGAAGTTGGTGGATCTCTGTGAGTTTGAGGCCAGCCTGGTCTACAGAGTGAGTTCTTGGACAAAGAGAAACCTTTTTATCAAAAAACCAAAACAACAACAACAGCAACAATATTTAATAATGATGGTGATGGTGACAGAGGCTACAATATTCTCTTTGACTTTTGTCTGCAGGACCCATAGCTTTCCAGAGTCAGAGCACAGAGCCCACTGTGAGACTCAGAGAGTTTGCATGGACATATTCTTCATTATACCCAAAGTTAGAGCTATGTTCAGAACGTATAGTTCTGACTCCAGGCCAGTATTTTTTTTATATGCTCACTTGATTTAAATTTGTGACAAGTTGTCATAAATGTCAAATAAAGTCTCTGGATTACTTTAGTATGCTGATGATGAAGACAGGCATGGATAGGTTTTCTGGGCAGGATATGCTGGGCTGATTCATTAAGACACTTGTGTTGCCACAGTGCTCGTTTCTTGGTGCCTTATGTCCAACGCACAGCATCCTCCATAGTTATGTTGCAGAAACACCCCTCACGTGCCAGCGGTGGTCACTGAGGACCAACAGCTAGAGTGCCAGGGAAACATCCAGTACCCGCTTTCTCTGATTTCTGAGTGCTGTGCTAAATCCAAAGAATGGCAAAGCGATTGTTTTTGAAGCGTGTGATTGTTTAATGGCGCCAAATGCTTTTGAAAACTCAATTTATATACAGTTCTCCAAACAGCAATAGCACCTATGGATATACTTAAATTCTTTTCAAATAGGATATTTTTTAAACATTCTAACAGCACGCCTCACTTCAGCATTATGGTTTATATTAGCTATCTTCATATACACCCTTTTACTGCGTACTCAGTTTCCATGGTTCACATATGTTTCACCGAGGTGTCATTCCTCACTCTGCTCTGACTACAAAACACATTTTTTTATATTCCCTTTTTTCCCGTCCCTTGTTGCTTGTTCTCTTAGTCACCAAAGGATATTTTTATATGGTTAATGTCCAATAAATATTACATATCTAGGTAAAAAAAAACCTTCATATGTGTAAAGGGCCATTGCAGGGTGAAGACTAGTGATACTACTTGGCTCTCTCTTGGTTATGGACAAGAAGTAGCAGCACTGAAGACAGAGAAAGAGAGAGAGAGAGAGAAGGAAGGAGAGAGAGATAAAGAAGGAGGGAGGAAGGGAGAGAGGGAGAGAGAGAACAACCCATAAGAGTCAGCTCTCCTCCTCCACCATGTGGGTCCCAGGGTGAACTCAGGCCTCCAGCCTGTCAACAGGGGCCTTTACCCACTGAGCCATCTCTCCAGTCCTACAAATATTTACAAAACAGTGTTCTGGTTTTACTATACATTTCATCTTAATAAGTCCCATATCAGGGTTACAAAATCATAAGTTTTAGTTTTCTCATCTATAAGATGAAAGAAAGACAGAAAGGAAGGAAGGAAGGAAGGAAGGAAGGAAGGAAGGAAGGACAAAAGAATGAGAGGAAGAAAGAGAAAGAAAAAAGTCCCTTGGCTTGAAAACAACCTGTTTATTTGTGAATAAATATTTCCTATTTTGTCCTAGGTTTCCCAAAGTATCCTCCAGGTGGCCAAAATAAAGTTTAATATTAGTGATTAACTTATTTGCAATGTCTTTGTGCCTCGTGGTACATTTTTATCTTCATCAGGAGACAAGGAGCCTCGCAACTGATAAAAACCCCAGTGTAAAGTACTTTGATGCGTATACAACATGAATGAACCTTGAAAACATAGTACGTGAAATAAGCCAGACCCAGAAAGACTATCACTATGTAAGTCCAGTGGTGTAAGGTGTGTGCTATTTCACAAATTCATAGAGACAGAAAGCAGACGAGAGATTCTCAGGGGCTGAGTTGGGCAGGCTAGACAGGACTGTGCTTATGGCTGCAAAGCTTTTGCTTGGGATGATTCAAAAGTGCTGGGAATGATCGCAGAGATGCTGGCCCCACAGCGCCACAGGGCTGACTGTAGTGAACGGTAACATTTAATGGCTAAAACAGTAACATTTCCCATCTCCTTTTATTTTCATTGTTCCACAGTGCTTATTGGGTACTATGTGATTGTCTTAAAATTCCATTTATTATGTGCGTTGTGGTTGTGTGTGGAAGTCAGAGGACAATTTGTGGGAGTTCTCTCTTCCATGGTGTTGGGAGATGGAGCTGTGGTTCTCAGGTGTGGCAACAACCGCCCTTACCCAGGGAGTCGTCCTATAGTCTGAGGTGAAGTCTGCACTGTGTACAGTTAATATCAGGATACATTTATCTGTCTTCTCAAACAATGGTCATTTCTTTTCTTTTCTTTCTTTTTTTTTTTTTTTTTTTTTTGGTTTGTCGAGACAGGGTTTCTCTGTGGCTTTGGAGCCTGTCCTGGAACTAGCTCTGTAGACCAGGCTGGTCTCGAACTCACAGAGATCCGCCTGCCTCTGCCTCCCGAGTGCTGGGATTAAAGGCGTGCGCCATCATCGCCCGGCTTGGTCATTTCTTTTCTTGCTGTTAGTCTGCATTGTTTTTTTTTTCTTTTTTTAATATTTATTTATTTATTTGTTTGTTTATTTATTTATTTATTACGTATACAATATTCTGTCTGCATGTATGCCTGCAGTCCAGAAGAGGGCACCAGACCTCATTACAGATGGTTGTGAGCCACCATGTGGTTGCTGGGAATTGAACTCAGGACCTTTGAAAGAGCAGCCAATGCTCTTAACCACTGAGCCATCTCTCCAGCCCCTGCATTGTTTTTTTTCAAGACGGGGTTTCTCTGTGTAGGTCTGGCTATCCTTAAACTCGCTCTGTACACCAGGTTGGTCCTGAACTCAGAGATTTGCTGGCCTTTGCCTCCCACGTGCTGGTATTAAAGGCGTGCACCACCCCTGCTTGGCTAACATTGGTCATTCATTTCTTTGTGATTAAAAAAAATTAATAGCCTCTCTTGCCTTTAAAAAATATACAGAACACTATGGTTACCTACAATCTATTAGGCATTGATGGCCAAACTTAATGCATCAAATCTATTTGTAACTTGGTACACATTGACCAACCTGGCAAGTTTTAGGTATACTTTACCAAAATAGGAAAAATCATAAAAAAGAGGGGATAAATATACAGTATGACTATATCACTGACTACAGAGCAAAGAAAAGCAAAGCACATCAGAGTGCAAATAGAGAAAATAATAAAGAAATAAATGGAAGCATACACATATGCACACATACATTCATACACATACATGCACACACATTCATACAGATGTGAACACACCCATTTATACACACATGCACACATGCATTCATACACATACATTCATACACATTCATACAGACATGCATGTCTGCACACATTTATACACACGTGCACACACATTCATACAGACATACATGCTTGCACACATTTATACACACACATTCATACAGACACGCGAGTACACACACATTTATATGCACATGCGCACACATTTATAGACATGCATGCACACATTTATACACACATTCATACAAACACACGAGTACACACACATTCATACGCACATGCACACACACATATGCACACCCTACACACACCCATTCATACATATATGTGCACACATTATGGTCTTTAACATTTTAGGCATCATGCTCTTGGGCATGGGCATGACAAATTCTATACTTCCCTTACCTAACATGGGAAGTGCATTTTATGAGGTTCTAGAAAAATTCGGTGTCCTGTCTCCTGTTGGTGAAGATTCAGTCCAAATCTGTAGTAGAATTAAAGTGAAGGCTGGTAGAGCCGGGACAGAAAAGGCTGCTGAGAACTGAGAAAATACTACTAATAACAGGAAGCAGGAGACCCAAATGTCTTCAGTGGAGCAGCTTATAGGCTGGCGTGGGACGGCAGGGAGTTTCACCCACCCCTCCCCCAACCATCCCGAAGCAGCTCAATTCTGTCACAAACAAGTCTCTGCCTCCTTAAGTGCAGCTCAGCATCCCGAGCAGATGGATTCTTTCAATCGTCTCTAAGGCAAATCTGACTCCAAGTTTGTAATGGAGGTATTTTTTTTTTCTTATAAGGAATTTCTGTCTTACCTCCCAGATCTTCTCCAGCTGCTCCAGAATGTTGGAAACCCCAGGAAACAGAGGTTGACCCTGGAACATTTCAATAAAGATGCAGCCGGCGCCCCTAGCAAAGGAAGCGAGATATTTATAAGGAGCCTGCTCACATAAAACCTAACATCTACAATGTCTCCTTCTGAGAAATGCTTGGGATACTCTTAAATAGGGGCCACGTGTTACGAAAAACCAAGAGCCAGGAAAGTTTCTAAACGAGGAGAGTAAAAGCAGATATTCAGCTAGTAACACTCAGAAGCAGGTTCCAGTTACAAACCTTAGGTCACCCAAGCTCACCGACTCCTTGTTCTGTGGGGTGGGAAAGCCCCGAATCCCCAATTTAAACCATTAAACCTAAGATGCTATCAGCATAAGATGCTAGTGTATGTGCCATTAAGAGAGAAAAGCGTGTTGCTTCATAACTACATACAATTATTCTGTGTCAATTAAAACCTTAAAAATGTTTGAAGGGTGCACACCTATACTCCTAGTCTTTGGGAGGCACTATCAGGAGGAGAAAACATTGCAACCCTTACTCTCTCTCTCTCTCTTTCACACACACACACACACACACACACACACACACACTTTGCAAATCCTATTACGATGTGGTCAAACTTTATTTCCTCCTTACTGGAAGAGTACTTATACATTTAATTAAGCATAGATTACTTTCTAAGATATCATGCTTGTACATGTAAAAATGTGGAACTTTTAAACCAAATCAATCGGTCTAGGCACTCCTAAAACTTCTACAGAGTCAGAATTTGACTCAGATTCTCTGGTGAGCTAACCCATGGCTTCGCCCTCTATATTAAGAGGCTGATGATGCGGCAAGTCTTAAAATAAGCCATAAAGGAACCAGGAGTCGTCAGTGCTGCTCCTAAGTGGCTCTACAATTATACAGACGGCTTGCTTTTGACTCCTGCCAGAAGAATGTTGTTAAGCATGTCTGATTCGCTCTCTCAACCATTTGGCTCCTAGGGGTTTACAATGAAGCAGACCTTCCTCTTTGTAGGTTTCCTTCACTCGCTAACATTCATTCTGCAAGATTTTATTTTTTAAAGATTTTTTTAATGTGTATGTCTGAGTACCTGCATGGATGTATGTCCACCAAATATGTGTCTGGTGCCTATGGAGGCATGAAATCGCGCATCAGATACCCTGGAACTGAAGTTATACATGGTCGTAAGTTTCCATGTAGGTCTGGGGATGGAACCCAAGACCCCTGAAAGAGCACTATGCACTCTTAACCTCCGAGTCATCTCTCCAGTTCCTCCCTTATTTATTCTGCCATTCTTGTGTGCCATAACAAGGAAGACTTTTTTTTATCCTTTCATTCATTCTTTATTTATTTATTTATTTATTTATTTATTTATTTATTTATTATGTATGTAGTGTTCTGCCTGAACACCAGAAGAGGGCCCCAGATCTCACTACAGATGGTTGTGAGCCACCATGTGGTTCCTGGGAATTGAACTCAGGACCTCTGGAAGAGCAGCCAGTGCTCTTAACCTCTGAGCCATCTCTCCAGCCCAATAAGGGAGACATTTTAAGTAAAACATTTTTCTATAAATGATCATAGTATTAAATATGGATTATAAGGTTCATTTGAGTTAGTCTTAAGTATTATCCATACACAAGTTTTCATGTTTTCTGTAGACTCTAGACACACTCTCTTTAATTTGCTTTTTAATGATCATGTAGGGGAAAGCATATTTCTCGACAACTAAATCTAAAACTCATTCTTGTGTTTTTTCTGAGGATAGGAGATGGTTAAGAGACAGATTGTAATGAAACTGTATCTGATGGTACATAGACTAAAATACTTTTATGGCTCGTTACTTTGTTTGGGTTTAATACACTGGATCATTCTTAGGATTTTGTAGGTACATGGATTAGACTGAGCTTGGCGGCTCTTTCTCTCTCCACCCCTCCAGAAATAAGTTATTTTATTCTGATTGAAAAAAAAATCAGAATAAATTTTCTAAATCAGTTTTTGCTTATATGGAGAAATTTTAAATGGGATCAAATATTTTTGATCAGACAAGTGAAGGCTGTGTCTGGTAAAGAACACCTTTGAGTGGGCTTTTAGAATTACTGTCATTTTAAAGTTTCTTATTATTTATGTTTAAATATCTATGTTCTTGGGGGGCGTGGCTCAGCACTAGGGAGACTGAGACTGGAGGATTGTTGCGTGTTCAAGTCCAGCCACAGCTATATAATACATTCCAGGCTAGCCTAGAGTACAGAGTGAGACCTTGTCTCACATTTAAAAAAGAAAGGAAGAAATATTGATTTCTATTCTTTTTGCTTCTTGTCTCCTGAGACAGCAGATGTAAAAGAACAGCACACAGAGAGAACACACATTGTTGTTCTTTTTTAAAAAATGCTCCAAGATCCCCGCGGCAGTAGGCAGCAGAAATGCTATAGGTCCCAAATGGTGGCAGCGGGCCATGTGGTGGCAGGCTGCGGGCTCTGGGAGCAGCCAGTCCCAGGCAGAAATGGCTGCCGGTCCCAGAGAGAAGAGGAGAAAGAGACAGAGAAGGGGGGAAGCTGAGAAGTGGGGAGAGAGGCAGAAGCAAAGCTGCCTCTCCGAGAGGAAGATGGAAAAGAGAGCGAGCTCAGGCTGGAAGCTGAAGATCTGCCTGCCTCAGCGGATGGGAAGGGGAATGGGTGTGGCTTGTCTCTTAAAGGGACCAAAACCATAACATTCCCAGGTCTTCCTTATAACAAAAAGCAGGCACGTCAAGGAAGCAGAAAAGGAAGGGCCCAGAAAAGGCAGGTCAGAGGTAATGAAAGTGGGCGTGGCTTGTCCCTTAAAGCGACAGGAAAGCACAACACACATCACGAAAGCCTGTAGCTAAAACCATTGCTAGTACTGGTCCAGTAGGGGATGAGGCAAGAGGAGCAAAACTGGCTAATATCATCACCAAACAGCCTTCACGTGCCCGCCCTTAACAGGATACCAGTGTCAAACTCCCCCTCACCCTAAGACTCCGGGGACACGGAGGAGAAGGAGGCGGAAAGAATGTCAGAGCTGGAGGACAGGGAAGAACATTTCACGCCTCCTGGACGTGAAACAGCGATTGCTCTCAGAGAGGATGAGAGAGGGTGGGAGGGACATGTTGGGGGCTTCAGGGGGAGTGAGAGTTGAAAAAAAAAACCACAAACACAAACAAACAAAAAACACTCTCAACCCCCACCCCAAATCTACCACCACCATAACAAAATAACCCAATACAGTTATTTCTAGGTGTAAGCCTATATATAGTTCATCTCTTTTTCCCCATCCTCCTAAAAAAGCTTTCATTGCCTGAAACAAAATGTCTCTTTTTCATGGTATCTAGGAGCCAAACCTGGGCATCTCAAATGTTAAGTAAGCACTGGATCACTGAACCACACTCCCCTCATTACCTGTGTTGCTTTTTATACTTGTGGCTGTGGGAAGCCAAGAAAGAAGCCTTCTGTTAGACAATTTCATGGTATCTGTTACCATTTACATAGGGATGATGGACAAAGTTGCATAAAAGTGCACTTTGGCAAGACCTAGAACATTCGGGCCGTTGTGTAAGTACTGCAAAATAGCACAGGGTCTTCATGTTAAAGAGATAAAACGCTGGTGTTTAATGAAAATTCTCCATTTGCGAGTTAAGGCAGCTTGTAACCTTTATCTAACAAATCAAGAATCTAAGGCTACTCATACACATATATAGTACATATACAGTTACATGCATAAGTATGCAAAATGTTATACACATGTATGTTTTTATACATGCTTTACAAATGTAAGACAAACAAAATCCCAAGTCAATTATGTTTCGGCGCCAGGATGATCCATTAAGTACCGTCCATACTCGAATAAATATTTAATTATTTTATCTAATGCTTCCTTTAAAACAAAGAGGCGAGCGCTTAAATACTTACATGAGTATTGCACTTAGTGAGTTTGAGTTAAAAGTTTTAAAGATGAAAGGCATTTTTAGGTATAATAGTTGTTCTGAAAACAACCCAAGTCCATTGTCCTGTTATGCAATTTGTTTTTCATAATCATGTTAACTTTCATTTGCTTCTTAAGCTTAAGATCACAAGTCTTAAAAACCTTGCCGTGGTGACACAGGCCATTTATCCCAGCACTTGGAAGGCAGAGTCAAGGCAGACCTCTGAGTTCAAGGCCAGACTGGTCTACAGAGTGAGTTCCAGGACAGCTAAGGCTACCCAGAGAAACTCCGTCTCAAAAAGCCCAACAAAACAAACAAACAGGGACTGGAGAGATGGCTCAGAGGTTAAGAGCATTGGCTGCTCTTCCAAAGGTCCTGAGTTCAATTCCCAGAAACCACATGGTGGCTCACAACCATCTGTAATGAGGTCTGGTGCCCTCTTCTGGCCTGCAGGCATACACGCAAAACAGAATACATAATAAATTAATAAATATTAAAAAAAAACAAGCAAACAAAAACAAAAACAGAACGGGTCTTGAAACTATCAGCTATTTTGCCCACCCCAGATTTTCTCCACATCCAGGTCCGGCTAAGGAGCCAGCTCCTACTGCCTTTGATTCTTTGGTTTTTGTTTTTGGTCATTATGTTTGTGATTCTCCTTACCCCTGCTCTTCTTATCCGGTGGTTTTCAGTCTATGGGGATTCTGGGGGCTGGAGTGGGGGGGTAGGTGGCAGCCCCTGTGATTGAGGTGGCAGCCGGAAACCAAGAGCAGGTGACCTTAAACAGTAAGTACATCCTCCTAGAAGCGCAAGTTGGCAGCTGTCAGCTTGTGGCTCCCAATGTGGTTCTTTAGTCAAGCTAGAACAAACAGCTCCAATGTTTTCTGAATTTTCTGGCTATCTTCCGAATCTTTTTCTCTCTATTCTAAGCGTGAATGAATTCCTTCCAGAAAAGATTCCTCAGATTCCTTAGGCAGTCCCCTGGGGGAAGAAAACCATCTTCGGAGTTTTTGTTTGTTTGTTTGTTTGTTTGTATTTAGCTTCCCAGAGATGCAAGGAGCATAGCATATAAAAATTCGGTTGGGAGAAATGAGTCCGTACTTCATCTTCTACTGTTGAAGTTAATTTGGAG